CCTCTCAGGATAAGGGGAGGGAATATGTGGGATGTAACTGTGATGTGATTGGTTGTTTTATACCTCCCTGTGGGCGGTCCTGTATTTGCAAGACTGTAATAAAAACCAGGCTGGGTGTGCCAGCACCTGAGTTCCTGTTTTAACCCTCAAAGTGAAGTGTCGTCTCATTATTGGGGGAAGGATTTATTGTATGCTGTTCCAGTTTGACTGCTAGGAGAGTAAACCTATTCGTATGGTTCCTATTCAACTGTCTACAGCATTCATATGCTTGAGAGGATTCATATGCTTCTCCGGTTCGGTGGTTGTGGTGTCTGCTGCAGTGTTTGGAGTCCTCAGGAAGCGCTAGGAGCATCCTTTAACGGAGGTACCCAGTCGGGGTGCCAGGCGAGCCGTTACAGGAATAAAAGAGACTGTATGTGACAGTACAGAGAGTTCCTGTTTTAACCCTCAAAGTGAAGTGTCGTCTCATTATTGGGGGAAGGATTTATTGTATGCTGTTCCAGTTTGACTGCTAGGAGAGTAAACCTATTCGTATGGTTCCTATTCAACTGTCTACAGCATTCATATGCTTGGGAGAATTTATTTGTTTCTCCGGTTCGGTGATTGTGGTGTCTGCCAGAGTGCTTGGAGTCCTCAGGAAGCGCTAGGAGCATCCTTCAACGGAGGTACCCAGTCGGGGGTGCCAGGTGATCCGTTACATCATGGTTGTAGACCGATTTTCTAAGATGGCTCACTTCATTCCTCTCAAGAAGTTGCCATCTTCGCAAGATTTGGTCCTAATTTTCATACGTGAAATTGTCCGTTTGCATGGCATCCCCCACAATATTGTGTCTGATAGGGGCTCTCAGTTTGTGTCCAGGTTCTGGAGGGCGTTCAGTAAACAATTGGGGATTGATCTCTCCTTCTCCTCCTCCTACCATCCACAGACCAATGGTACAGCTGAGAGGGCTAACCAGTCATTAGAAGTTTATTTGCGTTGTTTTATTAATAGCACACAAGACAATTGGTCCGAACTACTCCCGTGGGCCGAGTTCGCTAGAAACAATACTGTTCATGACTCCTCTGGGCACAGTCCATTTTTTGTCAATAATGGTAGGCATCCTACGGTTCTCCCTGCGGTATTTTCTGATACTGCCATTCCTGCTCTGGATGAGCGTCTGGCCTCCATTCGGGATACCTGGGTTAAGGTTCAAACTGCTCTAGGGGCTGCTGCTGAACGCTTCAAACATTTTGCTGATAAGCGTAGGAGTGCCAACCCGGTGTACCAAGTGGGGGACCGGGTTTGGTTGTCATCTCGCAACATCAAGCTTAAGGTCCCTAGCATGAAGTTTGCCCCCAGATTCCTTGGTCCCTATAGAGTGCTTCGTAGGATCAATCCAGTGTCTTACTCTCTGGCTCTTCCTGCATCTTTAGGGATTCCCAACACTTTTCATGTGTCCTTACTCAAACCTCTTGTCTGCAATAGATATACTGTTCCTTGTGTTCCTCCCCCTCCCGTGGTGGTGGGTGGTCAGGAAGAGTATGAGGTATCTTCTATCGTGGATTCTAGGTTTTCTCGGGGCACTTTACAGTACTTGGTTGTTTGGAAAGGTTACGGTCCTGCTGATCGTTCTTGGGTTTGGGCTCCTGACCTGCATGCGGGCCGTTAGATCCGCGCTTTTCACGCTAAATTTCCTCTCAAGTCTGGTCCTGTCCGCCCGGTGGGCGTTCTTCAGGTGGGGGTAATGTCACGTATTCATCCGCTTATAGAAATGTGGTTAATGACATTTACTGTCCACACAGGAAAAGTTGTGCCGAGCAGCAACCTAATCCACAGAAGGTTTAATGCTGAGCAGTAATTGTGCAAATGAAACCTGGTCTCATGTATTCATCCACTTACAGAAAAGTGGTTAATGACATTTACTGTCCACACAGGAAAAGTTGTGCCGAGCATCAACCTAATCCACAGAAGGGTTAATGCTGAGCAGCAATTATGCAAATGAAACCTGGTAACTGACTTTGGGGTCAAAGGCCGGTTACAGCCTATCAGAAAGAAAGGAGGGGTATTTAGGCCCAGTTCTCAGCCTGCTCAGTGCCCTGTCGTGGTTTCCCTTGTGGTTGTCCGAGAGCTCGTTCCTGTTTATAGTTTACTACCTGGTTTTTGACTTTGGCTTTATTTATTGACTTCTCTATATTCTGGTATCCTGACTCCTGGCTTTCCTCATTGCTGTGTCCCTTTCTGTGTTCCCTGACCTCGGCTAGTATTTTTGACTATTCTTTGTATGTTAAATCCGGCCATTCTAAGGACCGGTAATACGTTACTTATTTGTCATCCGTGCTGTACAGTTCTACGTGCTGGATCAAACAGTAATCCTGACACCACCCTAATCTGGCCACACCAGAGACTGACACACGGACCCGGACACCTCTTGTCACAAGAAACCCGACCTGCTAAGTAGTTAACTAGCCCCTTAATATTGGGCGCTAAAGCTCTGCACCGCTGACGCTAGCTACGTCGCACCACACAACACCACATGTTCTCAACGACACACTACTTACAGGACATACCAAACAGCCCACAGCTGTGTAATGTTACCCTAGTGCAGCTCGAACCAAATATCGGCCTAGCAATATTTTGATACTCCTACTGATATACGTTAGTTACGGAAACATGTCTGGGACATGTACTCCAGCCCCACACGATATCACCTGAACCATTATATTGTCACTCCCAAAGCCATGTCATGTCTATCCTTTCAGATGTTGTAATAATCTCTTGCTCCATATGCTTTCTCCGGTACATGGTATTTTCTTAATGTATGTGATTTCTATATCAATAAACTTCTAATAAAAAAATAAAAACAAAGTGTATTCCTTACCTTGGGCCAGGTAGGAGTGGAACAGAAGCTGGGGGCAGCACACATCAGCCAGGGAAGTCGGCCAGCCTCTTCTGATGATGTCAGAAGGAGGGGTCGTGACTTCCACTGCTCTTCTCCCAGACTCCCCAGCGGACTGTAGACTGGCAGACTCCACTAGCTGCTGGCTGCAGGGAGAGACAGGTAAGTTGAAAAATCTGAATTTGAATAATTCAGATTTTTGCACCCCTCTGCTCTGGCGCCCTAAGGCAGCCACTTGTGCTGCCCTATGGACGTGCCGGCAAAGCAGTGCAATGGGGCCCTGTCTACACACCCACTCACAGGAATAAAAATGTTACTTATCGTAAAATATTACGTTTGCATTTATTGGTACCTCCAAGAAATTCAGTGTTTAAACATTAGAATACATGCTGTGTAGCAGAGACAGGACAATATAACATGAGCCTTGAAGGTAAAAAACAAGAAATAAGAATGGTACTCCGTTGGCAAATCATATCTTGTACCTCACATTCCTTATTTCTCACATACTGGGGGCATTCAAAGCAGGTCATTTCAAACAGTGGTGCACCCCTGTTCTCAGGACTCAGGTCCAGCTGCCTTGCTTCCATTCCTTCTGCTATTTGTCCTGGCACAGCCACAGGGCAGAGGGCAGCAGCACATGGATGCAACACCCTTGCGTTGTCCTGGTGTGTGCCTGTATACCAGACAGGTCATGGAAGTGGTTCGGCACTCCTGCTGCTGTAGGAGCCCCCTCATGAAGAGTACCCCTAGTCCAGACTTTAATTGGCCCGACATTAGTGTCTTCTGCTTCCAAGTTCGGTGGAGGGGTGGGTGGGAACAGGTGCCTGAATAGCCAGGTATAACACACTGCCTCTCCCTGAGGGAAGGGTCAGTTCATTGACTCTGGTTCTGCTGTTTGGTTCGGTTATTGTGTATCTTGATCCAGTGTTCTCCAGACTGCTTCTGGCTTCCGACCTGCTTCTGGCTTTCTTTGTTTACTCTGACGTCTGGCATCCTCTGACTATGGCTATTCCTTGACTATTCTTCAGCTTGTGTCCTTGCCTGTACCGCGTATTGGAGCACCTTTACTTCACAGCCCCCGTGCACAGATTCATAGTCCAGGTGGCTTCTTACCTGGTCACCTTGGACTGTGTTTATCTGCAAGGGTGAGCGAACACCTCTGCACTTCAGAATAAGTACCAGATGATTTCAGAGATGCTTGTTGTTGTAACTGAGCCCCAATCTTCTCACACAGGTTGTCAAATCTTGTCATGGTCCTCTAAGTGCAGGCCTTTTTCTGTTCCATGAGGCCAAATAGCCATCTTGTCAAATATGGACCTGCAACCCAGCATGCAGCAATCCATACCTTAAACAGCCAACAGCCTTCATTGTGGGGACTGGGATAACCCACACAGCTCCAAAAGGGGAGGGGCGGCAGGAGACACTGGAACAAATTCCAGGACTAGGGAACTCGAGCATATGGCAAGGAATTGGCTATTTCACTGCCTAGGCTGCAGCCAGCTCGGTATATAAGCTTCCACATGGGAGCAGGTGACTTTAGTCATCAGTACTCACGCTTTATAAATTGGTCAATAATATGACATTTATCAAATATCAGGAATTCTCTGAGGAGCCTACTTAAAAAGCAGCCATGGGCATGGCTTGGATACTGAACGGAGTGGACGCATGTCGGCTGAGCTCTGGCTGAGTTCAGGCTACCCACAGCTCAAAAAGCCAGATTTCACCGGCATTCTATCCTGCAATTACCTGAGCTAGTGACTGGCACAAGACAGCAGTATGGGGAAGAGAGCAAAAAAGCTCTGAATCATTGCAGGGGAAGGCTCCCGCGACATCAACATCCTCCCGCAGCCGGACCCACACTATTCCTCTTCTGAGGAAGAGACCCTCGATGCCCCTGATGATATACCCCACACGGAGGGCCTAATCTCCCCACAACAGGGGGAAGATCTGACAGCCCCAGCCACAAAGGTTGACATCAAGGAACTAACGAACAACATCCGTGCCTTTTTCAATGCTGACTTAGACATAATACTGGAAGATATCACAGTGGTCACTGCCAGAGTACAGGCTACAGAGGACAACATCTATTCCATCACATAACAGCAGACAAGCACCAAAGAGCTGATGCAACAACTCCTGGCAACAAACAAAGCCATGCAGGTCAGAACTGATACCTTGGATTATGCACGGAGACGCAAAAACCTAAAAATTAGAGGTATAGTTGAAACAATTGATGAGCAAGAACTGCCACATCTAATTAGGCAACTCCTGTCTACTTTGCTGCCCCAACACTCCACAAGGGGCATCCAAATTGATGGCAGCTTCCGCCTCACAAAGTCTAGTAGTGCTCCGGCTGGGGCCGCCCGAGAAGTCCTGGTATGCTTCCTTGCACTTTGGGACAAGTTAGCAACCCAAGAAGCTGTGAAAAACAAAACACTGCTTCAATTGGAAACAATGCAGCTCCAGTTTCTGCAAGATCTATGCCGATCCACCTTAGACTGGAGACAAGTCGTTCAACCAGTCACAAGGGTCCTATGAATGGCGAACATCTCCTATGAATGGGGTCAGTCTCGCACCCTCACGGCTACCAGAGAAAGCCGCACTTACCAGCTTCTTTACTCAGCCTTCCTAAGGGACTTAGGCCTGACCTCACCTCCAGACGGTGCTGACAGGCCCAACCACACCTGGGACGTGAACAAGATTGTACCCTTTACTCCTCGCCCCAATGCAGATACTACCTGAAGAGGGGATGGACTCCCCGTGGCTCCTACCGTACACAGAGGGAACCCCTGCAGCCACACAGGGACGGACTGACACCTTAACCAATCCCATTTACTTGATAATTATGTTTTTATTATTTTAGAGTATCGCTTAGCACTGTTTAAGTTTCAGTTTTTAGTTTACACTGTTGTCACCAGATGCCTGCACACCCCTTTTTGGATTTTGTTTCTCACATTATATCAGAGATGTTGATGTAATGGCTTCTATCCAGGGTACGTTTATCTGTGGACGACAGTAAAGATTTGATGCAGACTATTTGACTGAGGATCTCACTGACGGTGGCACATTCGTACACAGAAAAAGGGAGATGCAAAGCTCCAAAAATAACATATGACATACACTATCTATTCTTTTTACATTAT